CTGAATATATATATATATATATATATATATATATATATATATATATATAATACTTATTTGTCTATTTATTTAACTATTTACCTAGGTTTCACCTAAACGAAACTTCAGGGTACGCGTACTCTGAAGATCCATTTAGGTGAAACCTATGTATGCAGTTCCTGGCTCTTTAGTATTTATTTTATATATATATATATATATATATATATATATATATATGTGTGTGTGTGTGTGTGTGTGTGTGTGTGTGAAAATATATAGAAAATAGGAAAGAACTTGACTTGACCCCTTTGAATGTAAATGAGATAATGATACAAATTATTAACCCTTACGCACCTTTTTTTTATTTTTAAATGATTGCTCCAGCCGTTACCATAGTAATTTTGATTTTGATAATGTATAGGCTTATAAAACGCGTGGATTTCAAGAATTAGTTATTCAAAAAAAAAAAAAAATTCGCTTGGAGATGGAACAGAGCTTGGTACTTTAATTCAATTTAATTCAAATAATTATATTGAAATTTTCGGCTCTTGTTTTGAAACATGAGAACTCTTATGTAGCGATGGAATCATATTTTAAATATATATATATATATATATATATATATATATATATATATATATATATATATATATCCTAAAAGCCAGAAACTGCATACATGAATGGATCTTCAGGGTACGCCTTACCCTGAAGTTTCGTTTAGGTGAAACCTAGGTAGTCAGTTCCTAGCACTTTAGGATTTAATTTATTTACCTTTGCTCTACGTTTTATCATAGTTACTCGCTTGTGTTTTTTTCTTTTCTTTGGACTGGAAATTTAAGGAACTGGATGATTTTTTCGTCCTGTTCGGAGGTTTCTAGTACTTTCTTTACACACACACACACACACACATACATATATATATATATATTAATCTTTTTAATATTTTATTTAAAAAAAAAACACTTGGATTATGCTTACGGATTTGAAAACCCATAAAAGTCTTTAAATTTATTCTTTTTTTTTCTAACGAAATTTTCCAATTCACCGTTCGCATCAGGGGATTTCTCTCTTGCGAGCAACCATACTTTTTGTCTTCTTACAGTTGATGGTGAATCCATTTTTCTTGCCTTCCTTTATTACCTTGAGTGAAAAATAAATAAAAAAATATCAGTTTTAGGAGATCATGCTAAGCCAGATGAAAGAATAATTAACTTATTTAGCATCCAACGACCCTGGCCTTGTCATGGCGACGTATAGAAGGAAAAACATTTGAAATAGCGGAAACGTCCTGATTTGGGGTCGTATGACCTCCAGAGAGACTGGTTAACTGTAAATTGAAATATGGAATGATGTCTACAGAACATTACTGTTACATTTTCGTTAAAAGATTTGGAATGAAGAGCGCCTTTTTAGTATGAGAGTAATTCAAAACACCCCGGTAAATACAACACGATTCTTGAAAGACGGGCTTGGTATCTCGATTTCAGTCATTTTCTCACCAACGTGATTTGACTTCCCTCTGTCTTTTCTACAAATATTTTCATGGCAACTAATCTGACGTGCTACTTTCACTGATGTCCCAATTGCATGAATTTAAGCTTGCTACTAGGTTGGAATCTCGGTCCCACCCTTTTACTGTCGAAACAGTTAAATGTAACCGCCTTTTCTACGACAACAGCTGCTTCTCTTGCACTTCCCGACAGTGGAATTCCCTTCCTCTTACTAGCTTCCCTGACAACTATAATCTTATATATATATATATATATATATATATATATAGAGAGAGAGAGAGAGAGAGAGGGAAAGAGAGAGAGAGGGATAATAAGCAAATATAGAGAGATGGATAGATAATAAACGGATAGATAATTAACATTCATCTCTCTCACTTTCTTTCTCTCTCTCTCTCTCTCTCTCTATATATATATATATATATATATATATATAAAGAGGGAGAAAGAGATCGATAGATAGTTAAATAATGAGTAACCTTCGATAGATATGTACAGTCGAGGATAGATAGATAGATAAATAGATAGATAGATAGATAGATAGATAGATAGATAGATAGATGGATGGAAAGAGTGAGAGAGAGATAAACAGAGAGGTAGAGAGATGTGTACAGACTAGGATGATTAGATAGATAGATAGATAGATAGATAGATAGATAGATAGATAGATAGATTTAAAGAAACAGGTAAAAACAAAATGGAAACCGTAGCCTTTGGAATAACAAAAAAAAATATTCATCTGATGTGACAATTTTAAAACAAACAGAGAAAGAAATGTGTAAGTGAAACGAATATTGTCGATATTTTCCTAACATCTCAAACTTTCTCCGTGAATTTCTTTATCAAGGAATGAAAAAAAAAAAAAAATTCACAAAAACGGCAAACTGAATTTGGAATATTTTTTGTTGTTTCGACGCCATGAAGACCGTAAAATATTTATTCTTTCTGGATTGCTTTTTTATTATTATTATCGCTGATTTTACAAATATACCAGCGTACTGCTAACACTGAAAAGTAAATAAGGTAACATTGCATGTTTAGTTTAAATAACAGATGGAGAAAAGAGCACGTTGGAATTTGATTTTGTTTCTGTAAACTATTAAACCCGCCAATTATATACGCTACATAGTCTTCAATGAGGAACTTCAAAGAGACAATTTGACAAACGGTTATTTGAATTATATAATAATCATTTGGCAGGTCTGCTTCTAAGAAGGTTGGTTCATTGTGTCATGTCAGTTGTTAGGTTAAAAAAAGATAGTTCAATATTATTTAATAATCTAATTATGTCCGCACAAACATGTATATGCCCAAAAGCTAGTATCATCTACCATGTATTCAACTGTGAAAGCAGAATAATATATATCTGATTTTTATTACTTTCAAGCTTCTTAGAAAATTAAATTTCGGCATTAAATGACCCACGAGGAGTTGATATGTCGTTAAATAAATAAATAATTTAATTATTAATTTTCCAAGCGAGGTAGGGTTTTTTTTTTTTCAGAATTCAATTTTCTTTTTCTTCACATTGGGCCTTGCTGATATAGCTTCGTCTACGATCTGGTAGGTCATTCTTTCTTACGATTATCAGGCCCAATCTGGTAGGTCATTCTATCTTTTTACGATTATCAGGCCCAATCTGCTAGGTCATTCTCTCTTTTGTACAATTATCAGGCCCAATCTGGTAGGTCATTCTGTCTTTTGTAGGATTATCAGGTGCAATCTGCGGAGGACTTTGGGTTTTGCCATCATCACAATAGCAAGGGAGGAGTAGATGTGATAGGCATCAATAAACTACAGAAAAACTCAAAATTGATCGCTAAATTTAAGTAGTGAATTAATGTTTAAGCTTACCTTTGAACTTTGGCTTACGGTCAAATCACGCTGAAAACACCGTTTCTCGTTCGATCACCAAAGTTAAGCATCGTAGAGCCAGGTCAGTACTTAGATGGGGGACCACTTGGGAACAAATTTTAC